ATTTAAAAATGAATTCTAGACTGTGAAATGGAAATTACTTACTGTACTTAGCCCCATCCAGGGCTGCCACTGCTCTTTCCAAGCAATTCCTAGTGGGATTTCCAGAACGGCTATACTCAAAACCCTGAAGAACAGAAGTTAGAGTTAATCCTAAGAGATTTACTGTTACAGTCCTAATGCAGACATCTCCACAATGAGGGGTTCATCCTACTGTAATGATTTTCTATTCTTTAGTCATGATATGTCCTGCCATTAGACAGAAACGTGGCAATGTTACAGAAGTAGTGGTGTGGAAGGGTCTAAAGTCAAACTCAATTAGAAATCTGTGTCTGCCACTTATGAGCTGCATGCCAATGGGTAAATCACTCAACATTTCCCAGATTGAATCTCAATATCTGTACAATGGGAATAAAATACAGATATGTAGTTCATAAAATTATTGTGAGATACGTGTCAGGTATCCTTGACAGGGGCAAGATTTATGATTTCCCCAATCGCTTCCATAGGTAACATGGAAAACCTCGGACTGGTCTTTGAGATATCTTCTAGACTCGGCAATCAGGGCTACAAACCGGCATCAATGACACCAGTGGCCATACATGGGACTGATCCCACAGATCCTACAACCCTCTACCCAGGAACTGTCTCAGCCAAGAAGACAATTCCTGCTTCCCATACCTATGATTTCATCCCCAGCCAATCAGCAGACCCAATTCCTTAGCCCTTTGTTCACCAAACCACTTTAAAAAATCTTAGACCCAAAATTCTCAAGGATGTGGATGTGAACAATTTCTCTTATCTCCTCACTTGGCATGTTGCAATATTAAACTCTTTCTCTGCTGGAACTCCTGCTGTCTCAGTACAATGGCCTCTATCTGCACAGTGGGCAAAGGACCCACCTGGTTGCACGGTAACAATTTTATTTAATCCACACGACCTGCTTTGAAGCATGTGAAGCCAAATATTATAGTAGCTAGGGAGTGTCAAAGCCAAAATTCAAACCTAGGATTTAAACATTGATTAAAAATCCTATATTTTCTCTCCCTGCCTTATTTAGCACATCACAAAACACAATGACTTTTTACACTTTTGTTTATGATTCATAAGCTCCCAATATTAGTAACAATAATTTTTAAAAGTTTTGTCGCTGTGCTTAATTGTTTTTGACAAACTGAACAGACATATTTCACAGGGCTCCAGGATATCCTCTCCACTCCTCACCACCACCTCCTTACCATGAGCTGCAGCTGCACCCACCAGACAGAAATAAATGCTTGGACTCATGTGACTCCTGCCACAGAAAGGTACCCATGTTTTCCATAAACACTCACTGCAGATATTTAACTTTATAGGGAGAAAAGAAGCATATTTCAGTGGCAAACTGCATCACCCATTGAATGGCTTTCCAAATGAAACTGGAGAGTTACATGTTTCTCACTGAGCTCTTAAAATTCCCTTTAGTGATGTTAACAGATTTTTTTAAAGGTATTAAGCAGAGTCTTGTGGATTTAAA